CTTCTTGCACTGGTATATTCGTGCGCCTTTCGCAAACAGTAGTTCAATCGTTTCTACACTACCTATCATCGTTGCATGGTGCAAAACCGTAGTACCTAGCAAAGCACGGCATATTTATCTTTGGATGATAAATAACGAGTTAGTGTGGCATAACTGAGTTTGTGTTTTANTTTTGCGGTGAAGCAAGCACTTTGCGATGAAACATCGTAAATTATTTTTTAATACTAATTACGCAACTACCTTTGATTGTTTGAATTATACCTGTTCCTTCATGAATTTCGTCGATATTTGATACTTCTGCTGATATCAATATTGTCACGATCTCGGAGAATTTCCTCACCTCATTCGGATCATCACGATTATTCACTGCGATTCCTGCCAGTAGCAACGGAGTTGTAAAACGTTCGTCTCGAATGTCAACGCGCGCACCACTTTCGACTAAAATGCGCACGACGTCAGCGTGATTTTTTCTTACCGCTTGATGTAGTGGTGTTCTTCCCCAGCACATAGGTAACGGTAACTAAAATGATAAAAAGAATACAAAATGTTTTTCTTTTCATAATTGTAACGGTTTTTAGGTTTTTGATGTAGTGCTAATCGTACGAACTTTTTGTCCAATTGAGATAGATTTCAAGTGCATATCTCTGCTAACGGAATGGATTCCGACTTGGGTGTAGATTTCTTGTTCGTCTCGAATGTTAACGACTTGGGTGTTGATTTCTGCTTTACATTCAAGAAGTCGTTTGGTAACATCGACGTGGCCGCAATGTGCTGCATAGTAAAGGGCAGTTCTGCCGATTTTGTCAAATCCATTTACGTCAGCACCTTTTTTGATGAGCTGATTTAATAAATCAATGTTTCCTTGCCAAGCAGCTACTTGCAGAGCCGTCACTTCAAGAACGCCTACTGGCTGAATGAACTTGTTTTCGTTGTCTCGCGCCAAAAGTTGATTTGCTTTGTCAAACTCGCCAATCTCAATCGCCGCCACGAATGCGAGACAATCCGGATCACTTGCCGGCATTATTAATGTTTTCGCGTTATTACTGACAAAGTAGTAATCGATTCTCGAACTTATGAAATCTCTCGAACGACTGCTGCCAAAATATATAGTTGGGGAATCCACACCAAGACGTTATCATATCAAGTATAGGATGTGGTAAAGGATGTGATAAATAATGTCGCGACGTCATTTCGATTTTATCTTTATTTTAAGATTTGTGTTTCGTTATGTCGTGTTTGCACGTTTATGTTTCTATAATACACCAAAATGTGACACTTTTATGTTGCGCGTGTACGTAATATNACAAAAACCAAAGATCATAGTAAATGGTGAAGTTATACACACAAATTTTCTTTTAAACTGAAATATAATACAAGTACATATGTGTGCACGTAATAACTACAATTTCTGAATATGGTTTATGCCACAGTTACATATTATACTATTTATGTTTTGCAAGACGGCTAGCGAATATAAAGTTTCCATTACACAAGTAAGTACATTAGAATACTGCATCTTACTAAAATTTAAACAAGGAGACACTGTAATCCTTGTGGGAATATAGCTTCTTGAACATATTACAAGTAACTTTTAAATGTATCAGCTTACTGTACACTGATTAAAACACGAAACACTTTTGTGGTTCTCTAAATGTGCACTAAACTTTGCTTATTTCATTAATTGACGTAAGTAATCCTGTAAAACCATGAATTAAGTCTTTCAAATAGCTTCTTTGGAAATATTTTCATGCACAACATTGCATAAACAATTTTGTTATTCTAGTGACAAAAACATTTACAGTTGCGCTTTGAATACATACAGAGTGTCTGAAAAATGTCGACACAGCCGAAGTATAAAGCTATAAAGTTCGAGTAGATCAATGTGACCAAAAAGTTATTTATCAGTTTTGCAAAATTTTGTAGGTGTATATGATTTTTAGTTGTACTGCTATGAAAATCAGTTGATCGCAAAAAGCTGGGTCACACGCCGCTCGCGCTTGTTTGCTCCGATTTTTGTTGCTAAGACATAAATGCAAAGACATAAATTATCAGTGCTCTCGTCTAAGCAAAGGGAATAGTATTTACATGTAGTTAATAAGTTTTTTACTTTATTCTCGAGATAATTACCACTGTCAGTGATTGTTCGTGAAACCGTTTGTGATGATAAGCATACGGTATTAAAATATTGTGAAGTTTCAGTAAGATCAAAAACTTTTGCCATTTCAATGGCATCTTTTTTTATGAGATTTCCAGTAGAAAAACTTTTTTTTTGCAAGCTAAAAGTACAGCAACAACATAAGAAGCTTTCAAAGATTAAAGTAATGAAACAGTAGTCTTGTTAACGTGTTTTTGTAATTTATCAAGAGACGCGGTCTCGACGCTAAGTACATAAAAGTATCCGCTGAATGAGTGTCACTGTCAAGACGCTGCCGTGCACTTTATCTCGAGTTTTTACTCGGCGTATCTTTGACATAAAATATTTCGTAAAGAAAATCATTAATGAAAAAAATAACCTTACTTTTGTGTTAATATCTGTTACTACAAGCTTTCGATTGCAAGAAGTGCGAATTAAATTGGTTCAGTTAATCCAGAGATCTAAAATATTACACCTCAAAATGCACGAATCTGTCACGCGGATTAATCCGATAATCAGTCTCACGTACACAGAACCTCACACACACACTCAAAACGCGAGCGTTACTCAAGCCGCGTTCACAGCCGCGCTTGTACTCGCACACGCGCTCAAGTCAGACATATTCAGCGCGTTCATATATTGGCACTTGCATATAGTGTAAATAAATAATTTTTTCCTTTTTTTTACAATTAGTAATATTTAAAACAATTAATACTAAAACTACAACAATCAATTTCAATATTAAAAGTGTACCTACTATAAAGTTAAATTTCGGTGGCAATACATATAAAGTTATTAGTGCAAGTTTTCATCATGGGGAAAACTTGAATACTGGACGATATACAAATAGAGTGCGTAAAACACAGACTAAAAACACAGACTGGATAACAATCCATGATTCAAAGATACAAAAGTGCAATTGGCTTCGAAATGCTAAAAATGCATATATATTTTTCACAGAAAAAATAAAATAAAATGTACATATACTNTTACTTGCATTTAAAAAAAGAAGTGAAAGTACCTTAAAAAAAAGTCTTTACAAAAGAAAAAACATACGCCAAGTACATAAAAACTATCCAAATATAAAAATCTTTTTTCTGTAGAAATAAAAAACACAGACAATCAATGCAATTAGCCAAGTACTGGATTCAAGACTATAGACCTTATAAAACGTGCTTAAAACAAAAGTAAAGTACAAAAACTTGGCGTGCCCGGATCGTATATATATACACATATATGTGAATACGAGTTATAATAAAACACAAGAAAACATTCCGACGATAAATACGCAATTGAATGAATTAATCAATTAATACTAACATATTAGCAGTTATAATTTAAGAATTTTAAAAGTAACATTAAATCACATTTAAGATAACTGTTGTCATTTTGTTTTAACTACAAGAAATTATAAAGAAAGGAAACATAATAATAATAAAAAATATAATAAGATATAATAAGATGTATACTAATACGATATAATATAAGTTATGTAATATAATATAATATAATATATGTAATATAATAATAAAACACAACATGTACAAAATATATAGCTTGAATCAGTACTACTTACGATCTGGGCACGCCAAGGTTTTGTACTTTACTTTTGTTTTAAGCCCGTTTTATAAGGTCTATAGTCTTGAATCCAGTACTTGGCTAATTGCATTGATTGTCTGTGTTTTTTATTTCTACAGAAAGATGATTTTTATATTTGGATAATTTTTATGTACTTGGCGTATGTTTTTTTCTTTTGTAAAGACTTTTTTTTAGAGTAATTTGCATGTTTAAATTTTAATTCTTGTAATACTCTTCTGATTTTGTACAATTATCGTAATTTTTGTAATTGTTTTTTATGACAAAGAGTATAATGTCTTTTTACATAAAATGTTTCTGCGCGTGATAAAATTTTAGAACAAATTAGACACTGCGGTTTGCCATTCTCGGTGAAAGTAAAAATAGAATCAACTTTACATTTTTGAAAATTTTTTATATTTTTAAAACAAAGTACAATAATATTTTCTTGATCTTTGTTTTCTTTTTTAAATATTATTCTTAAACTTAGTATAANTTTTAAAGAAAAAAAATAGAAATGCGTCTCTGAATCTGTCTCTGTGAAATCATCAGATTCCAAACTTTCCTCTGAACTGAAATTTGTGTCCCTTTCAGGCGAATGTGTACGCGTGGTTAACCTATTAATGCGTCTTTTCTTCAGCCTATATTTCAGCGCTATCGCAGTTTCCGTCTCCATCTGATACTCATAAAAACACTTGAGGTTAGATGGTCTCTGCGACCGTATTGCCTTAGGTAGGGGATCGATTGAACCATGTGAAAAGGCAAGCGCGAGCGGACGAGAAGCAGAGACATTTCGTGGCGAAAAACGCACGCCGTGCAGAAGGTGGGCTGCTCTGTAAGTAGCGCAAAAACTGCGTCATCAAAGTGTTAATATAACATTATTTGGTATAGAATAATTGCATACAATTTGTGCGATACATCAAGTATTTACAGCGTCATAGTCTTGCCTATTTCTTCTGAAAACATAGCAGAATAAGGATTTTCGATTTTAGTAATCTCTTTGGAATTACAATGTGTTTTCTTTTTCTGTATTTCTTCTACTACATTAGATATAATTTCTTTTATCATAGAAACAAACATTCTGTCATCAGATTTCAAACTTTCCTCTGAACTGAAAATTATACATTTAAATTGTATGCACGTATTTTCTACAATTTCCGAATGTATTTTCTGCCACATTTACATATTATAATATTTACCTTTTGCGAGATGTTTTGATGGCTAGCAAATATAAAGCTTCCATTAAATGGGTGGGTATCTTAGAATACCGTTCCTTAAAAACCAAATAATTTGAACGACGGGACACTATCATCTTTCTGGAAATATCGCGCCTCAAATGTATTAATAATCTTATACGAGGATGTATCCACTTTTTGTGAAAGATTCTGTGTGATGTCAATCTTTCCAAATGTGCAATAAATTCTGCTTGTTTCAATAATCGACGTATATGAGCCTGTAAATGAAAACGTTAATTAATTATTTCGGTTATCTAATTAGTGCGTAATTAAATGCACACCGATTCAGTATTAGACAAATTGATAGTGCAAAATGTTTGTTGTATTTAAAAACACTGTACAAGATACTGTTACGTCCTGACCTACGGTTACGATCGGGTCCTAACGGAGGAGCGCAACTTGACACACGACACTTTTGTGTATTATATCTCGGCACACTGACCTAATG